CGGCGGGGGGGGCTCGGCTGCTGATGCCGTCCCGGCCCCGCAGGACCTTCATGCGCGATGCCGAGGCCATCGCCTGCAGCCGGCGCATGAACAGCCTGACCCTGAACCGGCACACGGAGATCCTGGAGATCCTGGAGATCCCGCAGCTCATGGACACCTGTGTCCGTAATGGCTACTACGAGGAGGCGCTGGAGCTCACGGCCTACGTGCGCAGGCTGGAGAGGAAGCACAGCAGCATCCCCGTTATCCAGGTGAGCCCTGCGCCCTTCACCCCGTTACTGAGGTGAGCCCCGCGTTGTCCCACCCTGGGATCCGGGAGCACCCTGTGCTGACCCGGGTGAACCCCGTGCTGAACGAGGGCTCTCTGTTCCCCAGGGCATCGTGGAGGAGGTGCGCCAGTCAGCCCAGCTGATGCTGAACCAGCTCATCCAGCAGCTGCGCACCAACATCCCTCTGCCCGCCTGCCTGCGCGTCATCGGCTTCCTGCGCCGCATGGACGTGCTCACCGAGGCCGAGCTGCGCGTCAAGTTCCTGCAGGCGCGGGACGCCTGGCTGCGCTCCATCCAGGCCTCCATCCCCGACCACGACCCCTACGTGCACATCACCAAGACCATCGAGGCCTGCCGCGTGCACCTGTTCGACATCGTCACCCAGTACCGCGCCATCTTCTCTGACGAGGAGCCGCTGGTGCCGGCCGAGGCGCCCGGCGAGGGGGCCATCTTCCACGGCTGGGTGCTGCAGAAGGTCTCCGAGTTCCTGCGGACGCTGCAGCGCGACCTGGAGCACGGGGTGGGCGGCCGGCTGGACTCGCTGCTGGGGCAGTGCATGTACTTCGGGCTGTCCTTCAGCAGGGTGGGCGTGGATTTCCGTGGGCAGCTGGCCCCCCTCTTCCAGCGCGTGGCTGCCGAGGCCTTCAGGAAGGCGGTGGAGGAGGCGGTGGAGAAATTCCGGGAGGAGATGAATTCCTACACGCTGATCTCGGCGCCAGCCGTGCTGGGGGGCGGTGCAGGAGTGCCGGTGCCCACAGCCCAGCCTGGCACGCTGCAGCCCCCCATGGTGCTGCTGGATTTCCCACCCCTTGCCTGTTTCCTCAATGGGCTCCTCGTTGCTTTCAATGACCTGCGGCTCTGCTGCCCCATCGCCCTGGCACAGGACGTCACAGCCTGCCTGGACAGTGCCCTTGGTGAGGTGAGCCCAGGGGATGAAGCTGGGACTTGTCCTGTGAGATCATGGGGCAGGTTTGTTCTGAGTGGGTTGGGATCCTCCAGTCCAACCGCTCCCCCAGCACTGCCAGGGCCACCCCTACCCCATGTCCTCAAGTGCCACGTCCCCACAGCTGTTACATTTCTTCAGGGATGGGGATTCCAACACTGCCCTGGTCCAGGACTGGACAGTTCTTTCCGTGAAGAAATTTTCTTAATATCCAACTTCCCGTGGCACAGCTTGAGGCTGTTTCTTGTTGTCTTGTCCCTTGTTCTTTGGGATCAGAGCCCAGCCTCGCCCTGGCTGCCCCTCCTGCCAGGGAGTAGTGGAAAGCAGTAAGGTCTCCCTCAAGAGTCCCCCTGGCTGCTCCTTGTGCTTAAGCTCCTTCTCCAGCTCCATTTCCTTCCCTGGACACACTCCAGCCCCCCAGTGTTTATCTCAGAGTGTCCCAGAACTGACACCAGGATTCCAGGTGTGGTGTCTCCAATGCCCAGCACTGGAAGATGGGCAGAGCCCTGGGCCTGTGGCCACGCTGTTGCTGGTACAAGCCAAGTGCCATTGGCCTCCTTACCCACCTGGGCACGTGGCTGTCATCAGGTGACCCATCTGCCTCTCTCTCCCTAGGTGACCAAAACCATCCTGGCCTTCCACCGTGCTGAGGAGGCGGCTTTCAGCGGGCGGGAGCAGGAGCTCTTTACCCAGTTTTGCACAGCCTTCCTGGAGGACCTGCTGCCCTACCTGAACCGCTGCCTCCAGGTGCTTTTCCCTCCAGCACAGATCGCACAGGCACTGGGTGAGATCTCGGGTTTGGTTTTCGTTGCAGGGGGTTTCCCTTCTCCCTGGCACTGAGCGGGCCCTGCCCTGCTCTCGCCCCCTCCT